AAATACATATCAAATTTTATCATACTGGAGAAGTACCACAAAATATACCCACACCCTCTTTACACACATAAAGAATGAAATTTTGGTGTTTTCGGTGTTGGTTAGCTTGGCCATAGAGCGGATACATTCAGTGACATGGGCTGTAACTTTCAATTTGTCTGAGGCCACAGCTAAACCTCTCGTTTCTTTCCTTCCCATCAATCTGTTTCAAAGTCTATTCCAAGCTACCAGTCAAGCATAAAAGACACATAAACAAGAGTGATGCATAAGGCTCCACACCTTTTAACAGTCTGGTTTTCATTCCCATCCTTTCCACTCTTTGGGGACTTCTTGTCTTCAGATTGGTGGTAACTACTCCTACTCCCTTTAACTTCTTGATCTTGGACAACTGGAATAGGGAAGGCACAGGAGAAAGATCTAAGCAAAGTACCTTTTCTTCATTGCCATCACAGTGATGGAGGGAAGAGAAAAGAGGGAAGATAGCAAGGAGAGAATAGTCTTGTGTTCCAGGGAATTTTGTTCGGGATGTTAAGTGGAGTTTGTTTTGCTGGGACATCAATCTGTTCCTGCCTGTCATTCTTGCCCTGTATGACTGGAGACATTTGATGCCAACGATAACACCATTTTGCTCCCCGGAGGCCTACAGGATTCTGCCCTCTCTTAGCTTTAAATGTTTATTTGTTCACAATCGACTTTCTTTTTTTTAAAGAAAAGAAAAACCTAGACTTGACCTTAAGTCTCCAAAGGAATCCATCTTCTTTCTTCTCCACCCCAGCAGAAGAAAAGTTTGTGTAATTTTTCCTAGCAAGGTGCAATTGATGAGGCAGTGAAGGCTTGGGTTATTTGGCTTGAACTCTTGCTGCTGGGTGGATTTTGCTGTTTATAAGGACTTCGTCGGTTTGCAGGAGTGACTTCCTCGGATTTCAAGCTGGGATTGACAGCACTTCCTAACAGGAGCCATGACTTTGCTTAACTTTCCTCAATCAAAATAAATGTTGGCCTTCAGGTTCTGCCTTGTTCCAGTCACTCAACGGAAAGTAGCTCAGAGATCCCCTCCCCGATATATTATTCTTATTCTAAAAATACAGCTTCAGAACATATTGCAAGTGAAATAGCCAAAGGCTATAATCCTGTATGCATTTACCCGGGAGGTAATGCTATTGGAATGAATGGGGCTTATTTCATAAGTAGAAATGCGTCGGATGGTGCCAATTTTTGCACAACAGTTTTGTGAAATAATGAAGCAATTTTAAAGGTGCCTCCTGCAAAATATTTGTTTAAGCCTATCTATCTAATCCATAGCAAGGTGCACGTAAGACTTCACAGGCTGGATTAGTCTAGGATGCCAATCATCTATGGTGGCTTGCAAAATATTCATTCAAGGGTGTACAGTCTGTAGCAACCTTCCAAGTAAGGCTTCCAAGCTTGAATTAGCCAAGGATGCCAATCAATTGCAGTAGCTAACAAAATATTAATTCAAAATATTAATTCAAGGTTTTATAATCCACAGCAACCTTCCAAGTAGGACTTTACATTTGGAACTAATCTAAGATGCCAACTGTCTATGGTAGCTTGCAAAAGATTAGTTTAAGGGTACATAATCTGTAGCAACCTTCCAAGTAAAACATCGTGGGTTAAATTAGTCTAGAGCTGCATCTGCACTGCAGAAATAATCGAGTTTGACACCATTTTAACTGCTATGGCTCAATGCTATGGGAATATGGGAACTGTAGTTTATTGTGGTGCCAGAACACTCTGACAGATAGAAGGCTAAATGTATCACAAAACTACAAGTCCTAGAATTCCATAGCATTGAACCATGTCAACATGGTGTCAAAGTGCATTATTTCTGCAGTGTGAGATGCCACTCATCTACGATAGCTTGACATGGAAGTCTAGATGAGTTCCTATAGGGATTGAATGAATTTCCTCTGTTTACTTTCCATTATTGTTCCATGGAAAGGGGAGAATTTCACCTCCAAGAAAGAAAGAAAGATAGCAAAGCAAAGTGGCTTCATTTATATACCGCTTCATATCACGCTATGGGATGTCTAAGCGGTTTACAACTGTAAGCTCATTGCCCCCCAACAGTTGGGTACTCATTTTAGCGACCTCGGAAGGATGCAGGCCTGAGTCTATCCTGAGCCCTGGCTAGTATTGAACTCGCAACCTTGTGGTCTATGAGTGAGTGGCTGCAGGACAGGCATTGAACCACTGGGCCACCAGGGCTCCTTTCGCAATAGATCTTCGCAATTAAAGTTTAACAATTGAAGTGAAGTGAGGACAAATGGAGAAAGTGGGAGGAGGAGCGAGAAACTGGGACATTTTAAAAGCAGCTGAGCAAGTGGGATGGCACAGAATTAATCCAACTGTCCCTGTCAAATTGGGACAGTTATATGATACCATATTTTATAGTCTTTCCCCAACACTCATCCCCTATAGGGACTGTTTAAACAGGGAGACGTGGAGTGTTGGGAAAACGGCCGAGGCATTTTTTCTCCCCCTCGAGAGGCTGCTTGGGGTAACAACACACAAAGGCGGAGAGGGCCCATGTCCACCCGACTATGAGGGGGTGGAGGCAATCCTGTCACCATGGGCTTTCGAACCAGGCCTCCTATTCTGTGCCTGACATGAATAAGGGGATTAGGATTGGCAAATTTCCGTTAGCTCACTCTAGCAGACAAAAGATGCCAAGGTTTTAGTGTCACAGGGCCTGATAAAAGTACAGAAGACTGTCAGTCAAAAGGCTCCAAGCCACTTGTGCC